GGAATACTTTGCTTTTCTCCAAGTCTAGTTTTGAACTTGTATGCCTTCCTATATTTCTTTTTTTTAAAAATGACCCAAGAAGTATAATACTTTTTTGCATCTGCTCCTACCATTTACCTTATGCATTTAGTTGTAAAATAACCCATTTCCTCTGTATTTCCTATTTTCAGGCTGCTGGAAAGTACAGACAACAAGGCAGAAATTATATTGTTGAAGATGGAGATATTATCTTCTTCAAATTTAATACACCTCAGCAACCGAAGAAGAAATAAATTTTAGTTATTGCTCAGATACATGTACAATTTCCAAAAGGCACATGAATTTTTTAATTAAAATTTCTGAAAACTGAAGGGACAAAGAAAGTTGGGGGGGTTGGGAATCTTCTACAAACAGAATTATTTTTATTTGTTTTAAAATTAAAATACTGTGTACCCCCAATGAAATGCAAGTTCACTAATGTGAACAGCTTTGCTTTTCACGTGATTAAGACCCTACTCCAAATTGTAGAAGCTTTTCAGGAACCATATTACTCTCATGATACTTCATTAATCTCCATCATGTATGCCAAGCCTGACACATTTGACAGTGAGGACAATGTGGCTTGCTCCTTTTTGAATCTACAGATAATGCATGTTTTACAGTACTCCAGATGTCTACACTCAATAAAACATTTGACAAAACCAGCCTTGGTGTGTTTGGGATGTCTGTATTGACTGACTGTAGTGTGCTGAATGCGATACGGCACCTGGTGGTTGCTGATTACAGAATTTTAAGGCGTATGTATGACACAGTAACTGGCAGTGTGGGGCAGCTGCAATTGTATCTTAAAAGTGAGTCTTTCATGGGAATCAGAAGAATAGTATACCAGGGATTTGTCTCAAGAAAGTTAATTAATTTGTAGATGGACATTTATTGAAAGATGATAGCAACAGTGTTACAAAGAATATAACATAGGTGATTGTGACCAAAAAGAAAATAATTCTGGGGGAAAAATGTGCTTCAAAAATTAAGGGATTTTTGTTGTTGTTGTGACCACAGTGAAGAGAGTTTCTTTTTAATATTTCCTTTGAAATTATGAAGTTATTGTGAAAACTAACCCATTCATGTCTGGTAGGTTATATTTTTGTTTAAATTCACTAGCGAGTGTAAAAGTTTATTCGAAAAAGATTAGACCTTGAAAATTATAAAAGTATTTTCATACTTGGCTATTAAAATATTTTAGACCTGTCGAATTTTATTATGTATAAATTAAGTAAGCACTTTCTAAAATTGTAGTAGAAGATTCTGAAAGAAAATAATGACAAATTAGTTATTTGGAGACCAGTTGGCACTTAGCCTTCTTCTCTTATGATGATAATCTTAGAGTTCTCTCCTCCCTGAGCCCTCCCTTTCTGTCCCATGTTAATACTCCTGCAAGACCTCCCTTGTCCCCATCCGTGGCCCTTTGTACTTCTCTGTGATCATAGGACCATTTCAGTAGAATCCAGATTCTTACCTAGATTAGCCTTTTATTCTACTGTATTACTTCGTCACATTAAAGATAAGGAAATATTAAATACACGCATAAACTTAACATTGAAATGTACTTAATATAGCACAAAAGGCAAGAAAAGTGATTTTAAGAAGATTTGGCTACACATAGGAAAGGATGTTTAAAGAGGATTCAGTTGAGTAATGAATATAATTTAAAAGCTCTTAAGTGAGTATGCTGTTCTTGAAAATCAAATGTAGTAGCCCTTTCTTGTCCTCAGGGGATATGTTCCGAGACCCCCAGTGGATGCCTAAAACCGTGGATAGTACCAAATCGTATCTATATATACTATGCTTTTTCCTATATATACATACCTATGATAAAATTTATTAACAAATTAGACACAATAAGATTAACAATAATAATAGAACATTTATAACAATATCCTGTAATAAAAGTTACATAAATGTAGTGGTCTCTCATAACCAATCTAATAACTGAGATGGCCGCTAAGTGACTAACAGGTGGGTAGCATATACAGATAGCATGGATACATTGGGCGAAGGGCTATTTCATGTCTCAGGCAGGATAGAGTGAGACAGCGTGAAATGCATCACACTACTTAAAATGGCTCATAATTTAAAAGAATAATTATTTCTGGAATTTTCCATTTAATATTTTTGGACCTCAGTTGACCACAGGTAACTAACTGTGGAAAACGAAACCATAAATAAAGAGAAACTACAGTAAGATATTCTTTTGCAAACATAAAAGCAAAGTGCAGCAGAAAAATAAGAATAAAACTAAATGAAAAGTTTAAAAAAAAAAACTAAATAAAACAAATGAAATTCAGGTACGGGTGCAGTTGACCAAGTTTGCTGTGAAAATTCTTGTATTTCTGTATTGGAGGAATGTATAGATTAGTGGATTGTTAGGGATTTTACTAACGTACAAAGAAATGAAATCTTCTGATTTTGAGTCTTCTCCACAGTAAATTGCATAGACTTCATAAAGAAGTTTGAAATCTCATTAAAAGGCCTTTAAAAAAATAAAAATTTTTTAAAAGCCTTTAAGATTGTATAATTTTACTTTTGCTAACTTCTAATATGATAATTACACATTGCAGAACAGAACCATTTATCAGAGAAAAGTTTTGAGGTAACTACATTCATTAGACGCTAAAATTAAATGCTAAAATTATTTAATTTGGTTAGACGTTCTACAGCATTCTGTGTACATGTACAAAATTGTATTTTCTACAAAAGTTGAGAATTCCAAAAACTTTTACGTGCAGATAACTGAGCATATGCCTATACTATATCTTCATGTTTAATATTAGCAGTAATTTGTGTTTTTAGGATTATAAGTGAATATTTTCCCCTGTCTGTAGAACCATCTTAATCAAGTTTGTAGATAAAAAGAAATTTTATTTTTGCCCGAAGCTCGAAAAAAGTTTGTGGTAACATTTAGTTTAGTTTTATCATATTATCCCTTATAACTTGCACTTTGAGCATGCTCAGATCAGAACCAGAACCTCTTCCCTCTCCCAAACACAAAATACTTTTCATCATTAACATAGCTTTGTGTGAAGCTTCTGTTCACTTATAATTTGCCAGTTCTATTTGGGGAGTAATTCTTACTCATGATTAATCAACTTTCCTGCATGAAAATCTAGGTTGGTGTTTATCTCTAGTTGTCTTTTTATATTATACTCTCAAAGCTCCTTTGTAACAACTCAAACCTCTCTCAGAGTTGAAGACAGAAAATTCCCTTTTTTCCTATCATACTTTTGCTGATTAGTCTACTTAAGTGCATTTAATGCTTTTTTTTATTTTTCCAGAGACTTCAGAAATGTTGATTGTAATGGCCAACTGCTTTAGCTGGGAAAATTGATCTCACTTTATTTTAGGCCTGTAAAAAATACACTGTGGCAATAGACTAAGAGAGCTAGGTTTGACTTTGACTCTTTTGTCTCCTTCGAACTAATTTGGGGCCCCTTATAAAAAGAGACAATTTTTTTATTTTAATTTGTTTCAGGTATATAATACAGTGGTTAGACATTTATATAATTTATGAAGTGCTCCCCTCAATTACTCTAATTCCCATCTAGCACTACACAGACATTACAATAATGTTGACTATATTTCCTATGGTGTACTCTACCTCCCTGTGACTGTTTTGTAACTACTAATTTGTACTTCTTCATCTCTTCACTTTTTTCACCCAGCCTCCTAATCTCCTTCCCCTCTGGCAGTCACCAGTTTGTTCTTTGTTATCTATGAGTCGCATTTCGTTCAGTTTGCTTGTTTCTTTTGTTCCTTAGATTCCACGTATAAGTGAAGTCATATGGTATTTGTCTTTCCCTGTCTTACTTCACTCAGCATAATACCCTCTAGGTCCATCCATGTCATTGCAAATGGTAAGGTTTCATCTACTTATGGCCGAGTAGTATTCCGTTATATATATCAACCATAACTTCTTTATCTAATCATATGTCGATGGGAACTTAGGTTGCTTCCATATCTTGAGTGTTGTAAATAGTGTTGCAATAGACATAGGGGTGCATACATCTTTACGAATTAGTGTTTTGGTTTTCTTTGCATAAATACCCAGCAGTGGAATTTTTGGGTCATATGTAGTTCCTTTTAAATTTTTTGAGGGACCTCCAAACTGTTTTCCGTAGTGGCTGCACCAATTTGCAGTCCCACCAACAGTGCATGAGAGTTTCCTTTTCTCCACATCCTTGCCAACACTTGTTTTTTGATTTATTGATGATAATCATTCTGATGGGTGTGAAGTGATATCATTGTGGTTTTAATTCGCATTTCTCTGATGATTAGTGACTTTGAGCATCTTTTCATACGTATATTCGCCATCTATATTTTTTCTTTGGTCTTCTGCCCATTTTTTAATTGGCTTGTTTGTTTTTTGTTGTTGAGTTGTAAAAGTTCTTTATAAATTTTGGATATTAACCCTGCGTCAGAAGTGTCATAGGCAAATATCTCTCCCATTCCGTAGGCTGTCTTTTCATTTCGTTTATGGTTTCCTTTGCTGTGCAAAAACTTTTTAGTTTGATGTGGTCCCATTTGTTTATTTTTTCTTTTGTTTCCCTTGCCTGAGGAGATATATCAGCAAAAACATTACTAAGAGCTATGTCAGAGGGTTTTTAGGAGTTTTATGGTTTGGGTCTTACATTTAAGTCTTTACTACATTTTGAGTTTATTCTTGTATATGGTGTAAGAAAGTGGTCTAGTTTCATTTTTTTGCATGTGTCTGTCCAATTTTCCCAGCACCATTTATTGAATAGACTGTCTTTACCCTATTGTATATTCTTGCCTCCTCTGTCATAGGTTAATTGTCCATATAGGTGTGGGTTTATTTCTGGGCTATTTTGTTATATTGATCTATGTGCCTGTTTTTATGCCAGTACCATGCTGTTTTGATTACTATAGCCTTTGTAGTATTGTTTGATATCAGGTAGTGTGATATCTCCAACTTTGTTCATCTTTCTCAAGATTGCCATGGCTATTCAGGATCGTTTCTGTAAATTTTTGGATTATTTGTTCTAGTTCTCTGAAAAATGCTGTGGTATTTTGATCGGGATTGCATTGAATCTATAGATTGCTTGGGGTAGTATGGCCAAAAAATGGACAGTTCTTGAATCTCCTTCATAGTCTGTGAATATCCTGATCCACTTATAAATTAGTATCTCAGTAAAAAAGCTTTGTGTCGCAATTAGGAAATACAAAAAAAGAAGGGACTTACCATACAGGCAGCACTTCACAGAGTTCTCAACCCACACATCTGATCTGGTACTGACTTTGCAGATTTTTTCATCTCAGCTGATCCTGTGTGTAACACTTCCCTAACTTTGAAGAGTCTAATTTGTAAACTAGAAGGCAAGTTTTTTCATTTATAGTAGAAGATGTTCCTGACTTGTAAATAATAAATGGTGGTTAAGGGCCATACTCAGGAGTCAGGAGATCAGGGTTTGAAACCTGACTATACCACTTTTTAGTTATATGACCCTGGTTAGGCAACTACTCTGAGCCTGCTTGCTCAGCTGTAACGGGGATAATAGGACCTCCCTCATAGGGTGGTTGTGAGGGTTAAGTGAATTTATACATGTAAAATGCTAAAACTGCTTAGTATCTAGTAAGTGCTTAGTAAATGTTAGCAATTCTTTTAACTTATAATTGGAGTACTTTCTGCTAGTGTCCCTATCCACTCAAGAGAGGAAATTATAAAACTGAAAGTTGCTTGGTGAATATAAAATTAGAAGACAGAAATGTGAATGTTCTTTAGGAAATCACTTCCAAAACCTCTAATGGATGTCCCTCACTGAGAACACCTCTGTCTACCTGATCACTAAGTTGATTTATTAAGTCCTGCCTCTGTATGGACACAGTAAAAAGATAAATAATTATGGTGTTTCTTCTAAGGACATATAAGAATGGGGGATAATGGCGGGAGAGGGGGGGTGGTTTGCCTATTTACCATCTCAGACTTCTAAGCTCTAGGATGTGCAACAGTTCGTAATGAAACATGTCACATGAGTTGGGATTCTCAGATCCAGCTCTTCCTTTCACTCTGAATTTATGCTTCCCAAACCAGACAATGGCCTATTTTGATGCCATTCCAGGGGAACTTTTCATATGTGTATTGGCCATCTGTCTGTCCTCTTTGGAGAAATGTCTATTCAAGTCCCTTTGTAACAAGCCCAATTCTTATATATTACACATAAGAAAACTATGAAGCATTTTTTCTGGAGTTATCTAAATACCTGCCCTGCAGAAGAAATATTAATATTTTAATGTTGCTAAAGAATATTCTGAAAGAGGAAATTGTTGGATTGAGTGATAAATGTCGACATTTTACTTATGCAGGACTTCATGTAAGTAAATCACTGAATTTTCGGACTGAAAATATCATTTGAGAATATCTTGTTTAACTCACCTATTCAGAAGTTAATGAGGAGCAGAAATATTAAGTAAATGCTAACTAGAACTATGTGATAAAATAATAAACTGTGTTGCAAAGGTTAAATTAAAAATTAGTTATTTGGAAGTTAGAACTAATTTTCTGTGAGAAAATTACTAAATTCCCAGTGTAGCCACTGGAAATTCTATTCAGCACAATGTAACTGGAAAGGGTAAGGAAGACCAGACATCTCAACTTGGCAGCTGAGGCCACTGGTGATCTAGCCACAGGCTATTTCTCTCTCATTATTTTATATATATCTATTATTATTATTATTTCTTCAGTTTTCTCTCTCATTATTCCTTTTCTTGTAAAGATACAAATTAAGTTGCTTCACCAAAATTGCACAGCTCATTATTTCCTCTATCAAAAAAATAATAAAACAAATGACTCTCCATAATTTCAAAACCTGTACAGTACAGCATTATTCGTATTGAATGACCCATATTGGCCTTAATGAATAGATAGAATTTTGGGAGAGTAGAATGAAAATCCTGTCAGCCTGGATTATATAAACTTGAAAGCTTTCAACACTCCCATGCTTTTCTCAATCTAGCCTAGGATATCCATGAGCAGTTTCTAAAAATAAATGATTTGGGACAAGTAGAGATGGGAAAATACCCAGCAGATGCATGTGATTCCCTGTTTCTTCACCTTACTCTCTCTTCTCCTAATATAAGAATCATAAAGGAGTATTTGTCCTAAGGAAATGAGGAATATGGAAATTTGAAGGAAAAAAAAAACAGCTTAAGAAGTATCCTACTCAGTGAAAATATACTGTCCCTCGACCTGCTATGGTGTAGGAGATACTCTGTATTTTTATCTGGGGAGCAGTCACTCAGATGTATACATAGGTAAAATTTCATCAAGCTGTACAAGATTTGTGCACTTTATATAAATTATACCTCAATTTAAAAAAAAAGTATTCTTCAATTAAATGCCCTTATGCACAAAGCCTTACTAGCAATATTAAGTCTTCATAAAGCACTTCTATACCTTAAATTTTTGAAGATGTTGGTTAGAGATGATAACATATAAACTGCATGCAAAAAATTTGTTAGTGCTTAATATGGCCACGTTTCACAATTTAACAGGATGTTTATTTCAGAAACTATAATAAAAGACTGATTCTCATAGATGAGAAGGTAAATTATTTTCTGTGATCTAAACTGAAATCTGTATCAGCTATAATAAGATTCAATCATAATAGTAAGAACAATTGGAAACAATTTAAATATCCATCAATATAGGAAAATGGTGAAACAAATTATAATACATCCTTGTAAAAGAATACCTTTGGCCATTAAAAAGAATAAAGTACATCTATATGAGCTGGCATAGAAAGATTTCTCACATTGCTTTGCAAAAAAGTAAGTGGCAGAACAATGTGTATAGTATGATCACAGAAGTGACCTCGGTTAACTGGTGTGTACCCTTCCAAGTAGTTCTCATATTTACATGTATGTAATACATCTATACATCAGGGATTATAACAAAGAGCTATGCAGTTTTTCACTTAAGTAACTGAATCAAAGATTTGAAGGCAATGTAAAAATGCATCTAGAATTACGTCATATCTGAGAACTTTCCTGCCAAGACTGAAGGAGTAAAAAGGATCCAGCCATCAGAAGAAGTTGCGTACAAGCATTCCAGGCAGAAGGAGCAGCAAATGCAGAGGCTGTGAGACAGGAAAGACCTGGTGTTTGGAGAAACAGACAGGAGGCTGGGGTAGCTAACACGTAATGAGTACAAGGTTCTCAGTTACTCGGGATCTTGTTTGTGTGATATAGTGCTGGAATTTTATTCTAACTTGAATGGATAGCCACTAGAGGGTTTTAAACAAGAGAGGTATATGATCTGATTTATATTTTTCAAGATCACCTAGAATCTTGACCCCATCTGCCATCTTACCCAATCCTCCCAGTCATGAGAGCCAGCTGTGAGGGAGAAGCAAAGTGCCGGCTGACATGCAGAGGGCAGATGGAGCAGAGACCCTGGGAGCAGGAGAGAGGGATGTCAGAGGCCAGAAAACTACACCGGGCATGCATTACTGTCCAGGGCAGCACTGTTCAATAGAGATATAATGTAAGTCATGTATGTAATTTAAATTCTAGCAGCCACATTTTTAAAAAATAATTTACCTTAATAATGTATTTTATGTAACCCAATATATCCAAATTTTTATCATTTTAAAACATAATCAACCTAAAAGTTATTGAGCTTTTAGATTTTTTTCTTTCATACTAAGTCCTCAAAATATGGCGTGTATTTTATACCTACGACATATCTCGATTCAAACTAGCCACATTTTCTGTGCTCAACAGCCATATGTGGCTTAGTGGCTACTGTGCTAGACGGTCCAGGGCTTTACTTGTCCCCCTGAGGAATTTAGCCTGAAATCTCCTCCCCATCTGATTTCAATAGATCTCATTAAAAACCCACTTTGCTCAGACTGGTTGTAGTTTCATTTAAAGTTGAATGTAAAAAGTATATGATAAATCCTCATTTCTGGTTTGTCGTTTAAAAAAAAAGTTCAGGGAACTTACCGACAGTAAAGGAGAGCAAGGGAGAGACCAGTTATAGTACCATCGATGAGACTGACTCTTAAAACTTAGACTAAGTGGAAATGGAGAGTTGTTCCGCTTGGCCTGATCTGCTTGTTGGAGGAAGAATTAAAAAGACACTGAGGGATTAGATGAGAGAAAGGAAGGGATACCTCAAGAATCAAGAATGACTCCCAGGTTTTTAGGCTGAGCAACTGGATACATGATGGTGCCATTTACTGAAGTGGAAAAGACTTAGGGGAGCAGCAGGTATGAAATGTGCGTGCAGAGATAGGAATCAAGAATCTATTTTAAATGTAAGTGACACTACCTGACTTCAAGACTTACTATAAAGTTACATTAATCAAGAAAGCATGGTGTTGATGGAAGAATAGACAAATAGATCAATGGCATAGAATAGAGAGCCCAGAAATAGACCCACGTACATGTAGTCAACTGATCTTTGACAAAGGAGCAAAGGCAATACAATGGAGCAAAGATAGTCTTTTCAACAAATGGTGCTGGAACGACTTGACATCCACGTGCAAAAAAAAAAAAAAAAAATGAATCTGGACACAGACCTTACACTCTTCACTAAAAGTACCTCAGAATGGATCACAGACCTAAATGTAAAACACAAAACTATAGAACTCCTAGAAAATAACGAGAAAATGATGACCAGATGACCTTTGGTATGGTGATGACTTTTTAAATACACCACTAAAGACACAATCCATAAAAGAAAGAATTGAGGAGCTGGACCGAATTAAAAGTAAAAACTTCTGCTCTGCAAAAGACACTGTCAAGACAATGGGAAGACAAGCCACAAACTGGAAGAAAATATGTGCAGAAGACATGAAGAACTGTTACTCATATATAAGAAAACAACCCACACTGAAAACATTTAAAATGCACCTTTAAGATGCTCTTTAAACACCCTTGGTAGATATTTAGTTGACCATTAGCTGCATGTGTCTGAAGCTCAGAAGAAAGTTTGAGGCAGCAGATACGTAAATTGAGAATCATCACTCCATGGATGGCATTTAAAACCTGGGGACTAGAGTAAATCACCTAGACTAGAGGGAGTATAGAAAGACAAGAGGAGAGGGCTCAAGAATGAGCGTGGTGCAGATGTCAGGGAAAGGAGCAGGGGTCAGCAAAACAGGCCCAACAAAGCAGCTAAGGAGGTAGGAACAAGCCAAGAGACTGATGTTAGAGCAGCCAGAAGGCAGAGTTTCACAAAAAAAAGAAAAAAGAAAAAAGCAAATGCTGCTGAGCAGTTAAAAAAAATAAAGATAATGATGTGCTGGTTGATCAAGTCCTGTTTCATTTAAAAGAAAATTTGGATTACTCTTTTGAGAAGTTTTGCCATAAAGGGAACAAGAGAAATTAAGGTGGAGGCCAGAAGGAGGTGTTCAGGCAAAAGGGTTTGCTGAGTAGGTGGGTGGGCGAGTAGGTGGTTTTGGATTTTTAGCAATGGGAAATGGTAGAGCATGTCTGAGTGTTGTTGATAGGAATGCTCCTGGAGAGGAGAATTTGAGGCCAAAGGGGCAGGAGAAAGGAAGGGACAAAAGAAGCAGGATCCTTGAGAAGCTATGGGGTGAGGGGGTTGTAGGATGAGGAA